CGCGGCCCTCGAGGCCTCCGCCTCTTCTGCTCGGGCCGCCCGCCGCGATGGAGGACGCGAGCGCCGAGGAGCAGCAGCGACTCACGGACCAACAGGTACCCGACGCGGCGGCCGGCTGGGCCGCGGGAGGGCGGCGGCGCGTTTCTGGAGACAGCTCTCTGCGGCCTGGCCGCGCCACGCGCCTGCGCGGACCGGCTGCCCCGGGGGGTGCTGGGAGGTGGTTTCCACGGAAACGGCCGCCGGAGCCGGCGCGCTGCCCGCCGGGAGTGCCGCGTGCGGTTTCAGACCCGCCGGGTGGGGTCCGCGCCGTGGGCCACGGTGCCCCCAGCTCCCAAGCCGAGGAGGAAGGAGCGACTGGGCTTTGGAGGGCGGGTCGCACCGGGTCCCGAACAGCTGGAGGGGGAGTTCCGGGCATCTTCGGGGCCCCTTTCTGACTTCGGGGCCAAGCCTCAGTTTCCCCTTCTGTGAAATGGGGATAGCGCCGTGTCGGTCACCCACGGGGTTGTTGTGCGAGTGGAGGGGCAGCTTTGAAAGAGAATCCGTGCCAAGCCCTGGGCTCAGTAGGGGAGCAGAACTGGAGCACTGGCTAGCGAGGAGCCTGGGTTTCCACCCAGCCCTCTGGCTCCGGAGCCCAGACTTCAGATCTGGGTTCCGACCTCGGCTCCGCCACCCATTTACTGGTTGTGTCACCTGAATTTTCTAATATATAAAGTTGGAAAAATAACCACAGCGTATGTCTGGGCTTTTCATTTTTTTAAATCTAGCACCTAGAGCAGTGTGGCAGTTATGAGAACACAGGACAGCTGTAAGGAGATTTGATGCAAGAACCAAGGTCACTTTCAGGGGTTAACTGAGCAGCCTGTGAATGAATGATTTCCTTTCTACCAAAGAGTAAGTCTCAGGAGGTGCCCATCCCCAAAGTGAAAATGTTTTGAAATGTTGAGAACCTTAGGAAACATTGCAAGAGCACCAAGATGCACTTCACTTAGATGAGCAATTGTTAACGTTTTTGTTCAACAAGAAGCTTCAAAATGTCTGTGGAAAAATGGAAGGAAAAGCTCATGGAATGTTTCCGTGAAGTATTTGAAGCTCCCTCATAGTTTGCTTAGCCCCACTCCACCACACCTGAATCACTTGCGTCTTAATCACAAATACCTGCTACTTTAAACGTCCGTGCTTTAGTACGAATCTCCGAAGAACAGGGACATTCTCCTACGTAATCTCTATAAATTATGCATCTAGTAAGTATAATATTGGTCGTCTCATTGCCGAGTGTACAGCACATACTGAAATTTCTCCACTTCTCCCAAAGATGTTACTTGTAGTCATCTCTCTTCATCCGAGTCCAATCAAGAATCAGGCGTGTATTTAATAATGCTGTTTCTCTGGGCCTCTCTAGAACAGTTCTTCACCTTCATCTCTCATTGTTGATGGTTTTGAAGTATCCAAGAGTATAGTGAGAGTTTTAACTCCTTGAAGGCACGTCTGTCTTTCCAGTTTTTGTTTTCTTGTTCTCTGGTGTGGAGTCTGGCTGTCTATTTTGTTGTGTTACATGACATCAAGTCAGTCCCAACCCACAGCAACCCTGTGAACAAAAGAATAAAACATTGCCCGGTTCTGGGCCGCCTTCGCAGTCTTTATGTTTGAGCCCGTTGTTGCAACCACTGTGTCAGTCCTTCTCCTGGAGGCATGCCTCTTTTTCTCGTACCCTCCACTTTGCCAAGTGTGATGTCCTTTTCCAGGGACCGCTCTCTCCTGACAACCTGTTCAGAGTACCAGAGATGAAGTCTCACCATCCTTGCTTCTAAGGAGCAGCCTGGCTGTACTTCCAAGACAGATTTGCTTTGCCTTCTGGTGGTCTGTGGTAGTTACAGCATCTGTTGTCAATTTGAGAGTGAAGGGGCCCAGTCTAGCCTGTCAGTCAGGCCATAGCTTGTTGACCTAATTTGGAGGCGCTGAGATCAATAGCTCACTGGAGGGGGGACACACACTCACTCCCAGAGAGACATTCTTATTGACAAGCCACATGGAGACAGGCTGATGGCAATCAGAGTCTCAGAGCAGAAGGAACCACGTGGAGAACCCTGCCAGTGCTGAGATACCTCTACCACCACTGGATCCACAAGACTTTCCACCCACTGGCCTGTGATCCTCCTGCATTTGGTGTCGTTGCATGTGTTGCGTGAGTCTGAAGGGGAATGTATAGACTGGTACTGGACATATGGACAAGGGCTAGACTGAGTTGGAATGCTTTCTTAATATACAATTGCTCTTGTATATAAAGCTCTTTCTTATACACATATGAGTGTCTCTGGATTTGTTTCTCTAGTCCACGCAGACTAACACATGGTCCATGATATTTTCAGTATTCTTCACCAACACCATAATCCCAAGTTCATCAGTTCTTTGGTCTTCCTTATTAATTGCCCAACTTTCACATGCAGATGAAGCCATTGAAAATTCTATGACTTGGGTCAGACACAACTTAGACTATAAAGAGACATCTGTGTTCTTCAGCACTTGGGCACCATATTTGCCCAAAGCAATACATCATTTGATATATTGACTACTGCTGCTTTGAGCATTAACTGTAGACCCAAGCAAAATGAAATCCTTAACAACGTCAATCTCTTCTCAATGTATCATGATGTTGGCTTTTGGGCCAGTTGTAAGGATTTTGGTCTTCTGTACATTGAGTTGAAATTAACACTAACAACCGCAGTCCTTGAACTTTATCAGCAAGTGCTTCAAGGCCTCATTTTTAACAAGCAAGGTTGTGTCATCTGCATCTTGCAGGCTGGTAATGAGCCTTCCTCTAGCTCGGCCATTGCGTTCTTCATATAGCCAACCTCTCAGATTGTTTTTCAGATGGATTGCAGACACAGCCTGGATGTACACCTTTCTTGATTTTAAACCAGGCAGCATTCCCTTGTTCTGTGTGGACCACTGCCTCTTGGTCCATGTACAGGGTCCACATGAGCACAGGAAGTCTCTTGGAATGCCTATTCTAAAAGTCCCTAATGTGCTATTCATTATGCCTTGGCATAGTCTGTAAAGCACATGTAAATATCTTTCTGTAGATACAGTATATCTGCTTTTAGCCAAGATCCATCTGACATCAGAAATGCTAACCTTTGTGCCCCTCCCTCTTCTGAACCCAGCTTGGATTTCCGGAAGCTCTCGGTCCATGTCTCCTGTTGAATTACCTTCAGTAAAATTGTATTTACATTTGATATCAACTATATTGCTCTCCAATTTCTACATTCTATTCGATCACCTTTCTTTGAAATGGGCACAAATAAGGATCTCTTGTTGTTGGTTGTCCAGGCAGCGGCCTTCCAAATTTCTTGGTAGAGACGAGTGAGCGCTTCCAGTGCTTCATCCGCTTGTTGAGACATTTCAGTTTTTTGTTAAAGGAACCCTGGTAGTGTAGGGGTTACATGTTGGCCTGTAATCCACGGGGTTAGCAGTTCAAAACCACCAGCAGCTCCATGGGAGAGAGACTGGGTTTTATTCCTGTACATAGTTAGAGTCTCAGAAGCCTGTAAGGGGTCCCCCTGAGTCAGCATTGACTCCATGGCAGTGAGGTTGCCTTTTGTTACTGCCTTCAGTGCGGCTTGTGTGTCATCCTTCAACACCATTGGTTTTCCATCACATGCTACCCCTTGAGATGGTTGATCAGTGACCTGCCATTTTGGGTGGGGTATATTCCTCTGTGTATTTCTCCCATGCTTCCTGGATCATTCATGATTTTGCCCATGGAATCTTTCATTTTCCAATCAAGGCCTGAGATGGTTCTTCTGTTCCTTCACCTTGAGGTCAGCTGAGTGTGTCCTTCACTGTTGGCTTTCCAACACCAGGCCTTTGCACCTCACGCTGCACTCCTCCACGGCGTCTCCTGCAGCTGCCCGTGAGATGTTGCGGTCAGCTCTCTGACACGCCGTCATGTCTTCCATCTGCCTTAGCCACTCTAAAACAAAAAGCAAGGTCAGTCTCTTCTGACACCTATTTCTATCGTATGTTGGTCGTTTAATGACTTTTTGCTTTCTTCATGGATGGTGTTCTTTTTCTTTTCTTTTTTGCATGATGTTCTTTATGTCTCTCAAGAGACAATAAATGCTTCTTTTTTTAAAAATAATTTTATTAGGGGCTCATACAACTCATCACAATCCATACATACATCAATTGTGTAAAGCGCATGAATAAATAAATGCTTCTTGATTGAGTAAATCAGGTTGTAAAGATGGACTGATGCTTGTAATTTTACAAGATGCAAAGCAGAGAAATGAGAAGCTCATTCTGCATGCAGTGTAAGCAGGTCTGGGATCTCCCATTCATTCAGCCCGCTGTTCTGGGCACTGGGTACACAAGCAGATAGGGACCGTCCCTTGAGGACCTTATATTCCGGTGATTTAGCTACGCTGTTTTTACTGTGTATAGTATCAGAGAGGGCACTAGCCCAGCCATGGGGGGGTGGGGGACAGAGAAAGCGACCAGGAACCCATGAGCATGTAGAAGGACCCATGTCCAGTACTCCTCCACACAAACCTGGAAAAGCGGGTGACCTTGGAGGGTCCCGCCCTTTTCAAGTTGATGGTCCCTCTGGCCCCTCCTACCAAAAGTCTCAACTTCGCCCTCACCCTGACTTCCAAAACGAAGGGACCTGGCTTGGGGTGTTTGCAGCCCCTCTTCGTCTTGCAGGAAGCCCGGCGGCGTCTTGCAGGAACCCCGGCGGCGGCGGTGGCGTGGTGACTCGCCAGGCTGCCTGCACAGCGAGCACTTGCTGGGGTAGCGCACGCCCGTGTGGCTTCATCTGCCACCAGGTCAGAGAGGAGCTCGGCAGACGTCTGTTGGCACAAGACTAGTGCCGATCTTGTTGAGCACCTGTCTCTTGGGAAAGAGTTTTTTCCGCAGTGTCTCAAGGGAGCCCTGGTGGCAGAGTGGTCTGTGCATTAGCATGTTAACTGCAGTTTGAACTTCCTAGCCGCTTTTTGGGTCATCTGCCCATAGGTTGCAGAAAGCATCAATGGGATACCCAGCTTCCTGCATCATTCATTGTTTTGCCCATTGGACCTTTCAGTATTTCAAGTCAAGGCCTGAACAGACTTCATAGCAATGAATTTGGTTTGTTTTTTGAAAAGCGCTGTTAGGGTGAAGGGGTTGGCTGGCCAGCTTCCGAATCAAAGGAGCCTGCACCCTCCAGAGCCTCTCCAGGGCTGGTCTTGACCTGCATCCTTGGTAAGATGCGGGCCTAGGACTGGAATCTGTCGGGAGCTACTTGATGGCAGCATTTCCCTGTGTTCTCCATACGCCTAGCAGGTTGCCTCTTATTCCGGAGCGATTCAGCAAACCGCCCTGCAGTCGCTGAGGAAAGGGAAGCAGATATTTTGCAGGCCCCAGTGGCCTGCCACTAATCCCCTGCCTTTACCTGACCTGCGTCAGCACCCTTCGCTCTGAAGGAATATTTCCCCAGGCTCAGTGATTGGTGAGGGCACTGGAAAAGGCCCACAGGCAGGATGAGAAGTGCCCGCGGAATTAGGCTGAGGACAGCCTCTCCTTGGTCTCCATTTTTAAATGTGAAAAGCTCCTATTTGCAGCTTTAGCCATGAAGTGATGTTGATTGTCTTCGTTCCTTTCGCCCAGAAGCTAAAGGCCGCGGTTCACTACACTGTTGGCCGTCTTTGCAAGGAGGTTGCAGCCGACAAAGAGATGCAGTTCAGCAAGCAGACCGTCGCAGCGATTTCGGAAGTGACGTTTCGACAGTGCGGTGCGTAGCCACGGCCCTGTGCACTCGGATACATGGGAAGGGACTTCCAAAGAGCGGTGGGAAAATGGCATCGGAAGATGATGGAGTTTTTTTCACCAACAGTGTGAACTCCACCTCCTGTGTCTGTATAAAAGTTTTGAATGCAGCCCCAGAGGTGGAATTTGCCTGGGAGAAATGGGTGGGTGGGTGCTGTGGCATAGGTAAAGGATAGGTAAAGACTATCCTCCTAATAAATAAAGATTTACTTTCCTGGAGGTAAAATTTTATGCAAAAGAACCCAAAGCTAAACCCAGTGGCTCCGGGTCCATTTTGACTCTCAGTGAGCATGCAGGGCCCGGAGTACCGCTCCTTCGGGCCGCAGCCACCTTGTTCTTCCGTAGAGTGGCTGAGGGCCTTGAATTGCTGGCCTCTAGGTTCGCTGCCCAGGGCTTGGCCCCCGGTGCTACGGGGATCCTTATGAAAAGAACTGTGTTGGGGGAGCGGGCAGGGAGGAGGAAAATATGAGGAGCTGATGCCAGGGGCTTAAGTGGAGAGCAAATGTTTTGAGAATGATGCGGGTAACGAATGTACACATGTGCTTTACACAATTGATGTAGGTATGGACTGTGATAAGAGTTGTATGAGCCCCAATAAAATGATTTTTAAAAAGAAGAAAGAAAAGAACTCCGTTTTCCTGTTAGGTTGGCACGAGAGGAGCTCCTGGATGGCACAAACAGGGGAAAGTGCCACTACCAGCCTGCGGTTGGTGGCTCGAACCCACCCCCAGTTGCCACGGAAGACAGTCCTTGTGATCTGCTTAGGAACGATCACAGGCGTGAAAACCCTCCGAAGCGCAGCTCTGCTGTGCACACACCTGGGGAGCCCGGGGAGCCCGCACGGCAGCGGGCGTGCAGTGCGTGCACTGTGCTAGCGCCAGGGCTTCAGCGCCATGGCGGGCTGTGCGGTGCGCTGCCCTGAGTCCTGCAGCAGAAGCACTACTAGACAGCTCGTGGTTTATTCGTGGCATTGGTGTACGCTTGGCTCCAGAGGAAACGGATGTCCTCACAACCCGAACTTGGAGCAAAAACCAAAGTTAAGCCATTTTTAGGAGCCAAAGGTGTAGCCACCAGGAACAGAAGGTTTGCGATACAGGGTAGAGGTGCAAGGAAGGAGAAAGTGGTCATAATGCAGAGAACGGCCAGAAACCCCCAAGCCCAGCCCCCGCCGTCGAGGGGCTGCCTCTGACTCGTGGTGGCCCTCTAGAGCTGTTGAGCTGCCCACAGGGCTGTAGGTCTTTCGGAAGCAGACGCCATGTCTGTCGCCTACAGGGTAGTGAGTGGGCTCGAACCATCAACCTTTTCATTTACAGCGCTTAACCACTGTACCACCAGGGCCGCCCAAAATGCCTCCTCCCGCCTTGGAAAAGTTTGTGGTATTGGTCACTCTACTTCCTGTCCAATAGCGATATCATGCCTCCTCTTCCTGGGAGCTGAAATGTACCTCTTTTCTCTTTCAGACAACTTTGCAAAGGACCTTGAGCTGTTTGCCAGGTGGGTAAAGGACTTGGTGCTCGGAGGCTCTGTCTGTGTACCTTCGATTGAGACTCCATCTGCCGGTGTATTTCAGGAGCGCCGGAGCGATTCCGTTTGGCATGTTTGGTGGAGGCTCATGTCTAATTGTGACGCTCTGGAGAATGTAATGCCTGCAGTAATCACATCAATTCAGGCTTGATTTGCCATTTTCTGAAGTTTTCCAAGTACTTTCTGTGAAAGAACAAACGTTACTCAAAAAGGGGGGGCGGGGCGCCTACATCACGTCTCGAGGCCTCTGAATGTGTGCGGTGTGCGGATTCGAGCCGCGCTTTCTGGGGTGGGCAGGAAGCTTTGTAGAGGAGGGCACAAAAGGCAGTTGCCCCCGGGTCTGGGCACGCTCCCTCCGGGGTCGCATTGCCTCCGCTGTGCTGGGGTGACATTGTGTTGGCAGCTGTAATTGCTCACAGGTGCACAGACAATGACAGCCCGTCTCCAGTCGGGGCTCTCATTTGCCACGTTTGTTACAAGTCAGACACACTCCTTGAAAAGTGGGCGACTTGCTTTCAGCTGGCGAAGTGAAGCGTTAGCTTTTACAGGTGATTTATGCTCATCTCTTCAATTAGTACCTGAGGTAATTGAAAACAGTTGCAACAAATTGCTTTTATGAAGCAATTTGAATGACTAAGGCCTGAAAGGGCGAAAGCTTTCTAATTTGCTCCCACTCCTGATTCGGTGCCAACTTCTCCCACACCCCACACTTTGTACCTTGCTACGCTTGCCTCTTTGTTTCCCAGATGAATATGTTGAATGAATTAAAGCGCTAGGTTCTCAGAGGGCAGGCTTTAAATCTGTCCTCTCCCCGTGCAGATGAGCCCCTCAGAACCGCTCAGTGTCCCCCAACTCGGCCCTAAGGGCTCAGACAGGACAATGCGATGCTGCTGGCACACCTGGCTGGCTCAGGGCATACTTCCGCGTGGCCCATTGTCCCCCCACGTGTTGCCATCCCTACGTCAGCGGTGGGGAAAGACAAGGCACATTCTTACATACTTTGCTAAAACTTCAAGAAATGAAAGTGAAATTGGGACGGTTTAGCCTGTGGCAGTGGAGCGCTCCAGTACTCCCTTTGACAGTGAACGTGAGACGGTTGGTTTTCCCGTGCTGCACTGGGCGGGAGGGTGGTGGGGAATGGTTGTCTCGATGTCTGTGGCAAGCTCCACAAGGAATAAGTTAACCTGTAAGTAAAAGGGTGTGGGTGAAAGCTGTTGGGGGCTGGGGGCCAAGGCGGGGTCAGGCAGTTCAGTAGCCGTATTCTCCCCGTCCACGCGGGAGACCGCGGTCAGTTCCCGGCCAGTTTACCTCGCGCACAGCCCCTGCCCATCCGACCGTGGCGGCTGCGTATGCCTCTGACGCTGATCAGCTCTTGGTGCGGCTTCCACACGGAGATGGACTGGGAAGGAGGAGCTGGTGTGTGTCCTTGATCAGCAGCCATGAAAACCCTGGGGGTCCCAGGGCCGTCTACAGCCAGCCACAGGGATAGATGGCTCAGAGCTGGGTCCTGTTTGGGTTCGTGGCACACAGCTCGGTGGGTGGCAGCTCACAAGAACAAGGGACATGTCCATTCAGACAGAGCAGCCTGATGGTGACTGAGCCTGGGGCTCTCTATAGCGTATCCACGGGCCAGTCGGGCAGTCTCTACCCCAGGACACCTGTGGGCCTGGTCGTGTCCTTCTGCTACTCTGTCACCTTTTTACTTCAGAGATGGCTGTTAGCAGAGTGTCCAGCTTGATTTGATGATACGAGCACCAGGAAGAAGATAGGTAGGATTCACTTGGCAGGATTACGAAGTGGAATTTCAGTGCGGTTTTGAACCCAATAGGTCTTTGTTGAGGACTGACACTGCGCTGACCTGCTAGGCGTTTGGAGAACACAGGAAAATGCTGTAGCTCCCAACAGATTCCAGTCCTAGGCCCGCATCTTACCAAGGATGCAGGTCAAGACCAGCCCTGGAGAGGCTCTGGAGGGTGCAGGCTCCTTTGATTCGGAAGCTGGCCAGCCAACCCCTTCACCCTAACAGCGCTTTTCAAAAAACAAACCCTGGTGGTGTCGTGGTTACACGTTGGGCTGAGATCTGCGTGGTCGGCGGTTGGAAAGCACCAGCAGCGTCTCCAGGGACAGACTGGGCCTTCTGCTCCCACGAACAGTCTCGGAAACCCACAGGGAGTCACGATAGGGCAGCAAGTTTTGGTGTTTGAGCTCCTGGCTGGTTAGGGAGGATACAAACATGAACCTGACCTGTCTCTTGTTTGTTGGGAATGAGAAGAAAGGTGTAATCAGAGTAATAAATGATTGAACAGAGCCTGTTTCCTCAAATTACCTTTTAAAACAAACCTAAGAGGACTGGAGTGAGAATCTGGGCCCCTGTTGTGCATAAGAAACAGATGCTGGTTTACAGTGAACCCTCGTTTATCACGGTTAATCGGTTCTAGACCCTACCGTGATAAATGAAATGCCGCGAAGTAGGATTCCTTATTTGTAAATCAAATATTTTCGTAGTTAGAGCATAGAGGACATGAAAAAACACCCTTTAGTCACCATTACACTCGTATTACCCAATTTATTAAACGAAAAAGGGAAAATACAGTAAAACATTTTGGACGTTACAATTATCATTTAGTATTTATTATATTATTTATGGCATCAAGCGTGTACAGTATGAGCCAATCGGTGGCAGTAATGACAGAGCATGCGCTGTTACGCAAAAACCGCGATAGAGTGAAGCCGCGGAAGTAGAAGCGCGAAGTGACGAGGGTTCACTGTATATGATATTTTTGGCTCTTCTTGGGCCCTGTTTGGGGACGAGCAGGAACTGGGGAGTCAGCATTTTCCTGTAGAGGCCCTTGCCTGGAGGTTCATCCTTGGGAGAAGCACCTCAGGAAGGTGGCCCGAGGGGGCGTCAGACAGTCCGTAGGAGAACCCAAGGAACAGGTCCTGGGAACGTCCCACGTTCTCTTTGAAGCCCCTGGTGCGAGCGAAGCTAGGTTCCTGCAGTGCGTGTCCACTGAAGCAGAGGCCTTCTTGGCACCACGAGGCTCTGGCCGTTTTCTCGCCCGCTCCAGCCGTGCCCTGCGGTGTCACGGTGACCGAGCTAGTCCGGGTCGGAGGAGTTGTAACTGCTCAGGCGCCTTTCTTGTTCTTCAGCCACCCTTGGCCCTGGGGCGGGCCGGACAGACGGCTTCTGCTCTTTGTCTCGCTCACTCCCCACTTAATTGCCATCTTGGCTGGTGACGTCCCTCATTTTTGTGCCACTCTTGCTTCGTGACCTCCGCCTGACTAGAGGGGCTATTAGAGAGCCTCGCTCCTTGGTAGTCTGACAGTGGACTTCTGTTTTTCATCAAAACTTTAAATAATCCAGTGTGTTGGATTGTTTCTGCCCTCTCTAGACATGCGAAGAGAAGCACCATTAACACGGACGACGTGAAGCTCTTAGCCAGGAGGAGCAGCTCGCTGGTGAGAGATGGATTCCTTTTCTCGCTCCCCTTTCCCATCAGAACACATTATCCCAATTAATCACGGGGAGCCAGGGAGCGTTAACCACTGGAGGGGGCGAACCATGCAGACCTGCCGTCATTTATAGCCCTGCTTTCAGGATGATGCATCTTGCAAAGCCAATTTGAAATTTTCTAATCAGCACTCTCCGGACATGGTGATTTGCCTTTTTCCGGAGATCTCAAACCTTTGTCCCGCCTTCCATCTGCAGCGTCATGTCAGGGACAGGTCACGGGCTGGAGTCTGGGAATAGGGGTTCTCTTCCGGTGCCCACGAGGAGCTCCTCTGACTAGGTGTGCACAAAGGGGACACAGTGCCTGCCTTTTCAAAGAAGGGACATTGGAAAGGAGCACAGAAAGTCTGTGTGCTGAGCCCTCGCTTTGCAGTGAGGACAGTAGGCGGGTCCAGGCTGATCGCTAAGCCAGTGAACTCTCCTCCCCGTGACAGGAGCTCCCCAGGAAGGGGCTTGAGTCTGTTTCCCGGTCCACCTGCCGTGCCTGGCCCAGAGTCCCCAGGTGCTCCAAGCGTTCAGTGCTGTTGGCTGAGCACTTCCCAGGGTGTAGGGCACTTTTGTAGCTGTGACTTAGCACGTGTTGTTTAACTTTCACAGTCACCCCCAGAGCATGTATTTGTGTCCTGGGCCTGCCTAAGAAAATACCGCAAACCAGGTGGCCTTCAACAACAGAAATGTATTTTGTCGTACAGGAGCTCTGGAGGCATCGTGGTTACACCTTGAGTTACTAACTGTAAGGTCAGCAGTTCAAAACCGTCAGCCGCTCCTCGGGAGAAAGATGGGGATTTCTACTAACTTAAATATTATAGTCTCAAAAAAAAAAAAAAAAAAAGAACTATAGTCTCAACAATTGAGTTATTGGATTGTATGACAGACATATGGATCAGGTGCCAAAAAAAATGTTTTAAAAAGTTATCGTCTCAGCAACCCACTGGGGCAGTTTTACCCTGCGCTGTAGTCACTCTGAGTCAGCATGGACTCTGTGGCGTGCGTTTGGTGTTGGTTTTATTCCATCACAGCCTGGGAGGCTGGAAGTCCAGGAGCCGGGCAGGAGCAGCTCCGTGCTCTCACGGCTCTCAGGGAAGCATCTTTCCTGGTCTTTCCCAGCTTCTGGAAGCCTCAGGGTGGTTTATGGCTGCACCACTCCAATTTCTGCTGCTCTGCCTTCACATGCCGTTTCCCCTTTGTGTCTGTATGGGTCTCTCCTGTGATAAGGACCCCAGTCAGCAGATTAGGGTCCGCCATGCTCCAGTCTGACCTCTTCCTAACTAATGATAACTGCAAAGACCCTCTATCCCAGGATGCTCACACTCTGAGGTTCTGGGTCCAGCCCAGCAGTCTCAGCGGCACCACTTGCCGCTCAGGAACTGCCCCGAGTTCAATACGGAGCTCTATGGGGGAGTAGAGAGGTGCACCTCCCCTGCTCTCCCAGTGCCCTTCAAGGTTTCCAGGCATGTGATTCTCCAGTCAAGTCGCGGAGGTGCGTCCTGGTTCTGTGCAGAAGTGGAGAAGGCATTTGTCACCCCTCCCTCAGCCCTCCTGTCCAAGGGACTGCTCAGTACAAGTCTTCTTAACGACAGTAACTGGGACGTGGCCTGACTGCTTGTTTACTTCAGAATGTTGTTTTATTTCGGACTGTTTTTTTCCCCCCATCTGACCCAACCTCATTACCAAAGAGGTGCAATTGGCGAAGCCCTCCTTGGTTTCAGCCCTGTGTCCCGGTACCTGGGACGCACCGTTGCTGCTCAGTAAGTTTTGCTGCACAAGCGAAGGGTGGATGCAGGGTGCTTAGGAGAGCGTGCTTAGCGCCGGCCTGCCTTACACCAGCTCCCAGTGTTAACTCCTGATTGAATGCACTACGTGGAAGATAGGAGTAGCAGCAAGTTCATGTTTATGAACTTGCTTTTTTGAAGTTGTCTTTTTCAGGAAAAAGAAAAGTGATGTTGCATGTATGTCGGAGACTTGTAACCCAATTTTATGTACCAGATTCTTTGGGTAGGAATGATGGGGAAGGCTGTAGGTTTTAGTTTGAGAACAATAAGGCGTTTTTTTCAATCAGGTACAAATACAGTTCTTTGTTTTTTAAGCTGAAATACATCACAGAGAAAAATGAAGAGATTGCTCAGGTGAACCTAGAGCAGAAGGCGAAGAAGAAAAAGAAGCCCGAAAGAGGAAACCAGGAGTCGGCGGAGTTGGTGGCGGAGGCCGAAGCCGTGGAGTGTGAGGGTTAGCCGTCGACAGCCGCCGCCTTCAGCAGACCGAGCCCGGGAAGGCATGGTTTCACAAAGTGGGAGTGGAAGTCCTGGGACCGCGTGTCCTACAGTCTTGTCAGACACTGACTTCAAAAGCAAATTAAAAGGAGAGTGTTGTTAACCCTTTCATCCCCTGGTTATTTTCCACCTTGAATGTTTGTGGATGTTGTATGTGTTCGTTAGTGGAAGTCATGCTGAATCAGGATCATCCTTTTGACACATACTATGCCAGACGTGTGTGTCCCTCGTAGCTCTGGGGTAGGATTCTATGGTACACACCTGTTAATTCTGCATGCTGTGGGATACATATGCCCCTCTGGACCCTACACTATCTTCTAGACCCCTTGGCAGGTATATTTTTTAGGGCATCTGAGAATGCAGTATTTGCATGAACCTGGAGTCACCACGAGGAGGGTAACATTCAGGTAACGCACAGGAACCTGAAAAGACACAAGGCTCATTTCCCAGTTAAAAAAAAAAAAAAAAGAAAGACAAAAAAGTTTTGTAAACTCAGCTCACCAGGCTGCATCACCTCACATCAAACCTGGTAAAAACAGTAATTTGTGACATAAGCCCATTTCTTCTACCCTCCTGAGGGCTGCGTGCGCGCTCAGTGGGCAAGCTGGTGCCTAGGAAGCCCAGAGGAGGAGAGCAGAGGTGGGTGCTGTCTGTCCAGTGGGTGCTTGGAGGAATGACCAAGGTGCGTGTCTCAAGACATCTCCAGTGTCGAGTGCACTAAAAAGGCCTTGTCTTTGAGTGTTTTCTGTTGGAGAGTATTTTGTTAAAATTAATGAAATTGTGGTAGCAGTTGAAGATCAACTTCTTATAGCAAAAATAAAAAAGATTGTGTGTGTGTAATTATATAAATTTCCAGGTTCAATGACACTCTTAAAAGGTTCACACCGATCTACATTTACATTAAACTACATTGATTGCGCTCTGCCGAGGCGGTTTTACGCCTGCATCAGCTGTGATACGGTGTGGATGTGTGGCAATGGTTCTTTTCGCTTGGGGCGGGGGACGTGATTTTCCTGGAACTGCCTTCGTGTGACATTCCCCTGGCTTCGTTGTTACTACACTATGGTTCTGCCGGGCCATGATGGAATCCAGGACTACCCCGCTGTTCATGTGTGAGATGCTTCCAGGAGCCCAGTGCTGGCTGCTCTGTGGAGTCCCTTTGAGGCCCAGTGTGTGCCTCTGCCCTGAGGGGCCATCTGGGCAGCAAGGGGCCCGGCCTGAACACAGCCCCTCCTGTGTGCCAGGCACAACCCTGGGAGCTCCGGTGAATGTTCACAACTCTTCTCAGGAGAGGTTGATTGTCAACCGAAGCTTGCTAAGAGTCACCAGTACCCCCTGCCCCCAGGTCCCAAGACTTGGTTAGTAGTCATGGTGCATCTTAGAATAATATATGCCACCCAGGCCCCAGTCTGGCCAGCTAATGACACCCGGCAGTCTGACTCAGAACTACGGCCATCCAGTTCAATGTCATGACGTCAGGGTCTGCACTAAACAACCCTTTGATCATGATCATTGCAACATCTGTGTCAAATCAGCAAAAGGAAAGGTTTCGCACCTCAGCTGTGTGTGAGCAGTTTCACTTTGGGACCCGCTTTCTTTAAGCCCTCATGAGGAGGAACTTATGGAATACATAGATGCGGTGGGCTTTCCAGAGCCCCCCCAGGTCTGCATTTGCCCCCTCATTTTGCAGCTGCAGGAACATTCTGAAATGTTACATTCTTCTCAGGTAGAAAGGGTTGAAGCTACTTCCGGGATGTGGTGGGTGTGACTACGGAAGTGAGTAGAAATCATCATGGTGCATCCTATTCCTGGTGCGGTTAAGAGTTGGATTGCAGCCGCTCGGTTGGCAGTTGGAAGCCACCAGCAGCTCCTTGGGAGAAAGCCTGGGCGTTCTGCTCCTGTGAACAGTTACCGCCTCCGAAACTCATGGGGTTGCTGTGAGTCAGCATTGACTCGATGGCAGTGAGTTTGGTTTGTTTTGGGGGTTTTGGTTGTTATTTCTGTAAATTTTGTTAGCTCCTAAAACTCCGTATCTACAGTGGCACAAGTTTCCTGATGGGAGGTTCTGGGAGCAGATGAGAACTTTGACTTTCCCGTGCTCTGATGTTTGTTCGGCATGTTGATGCATGTTCTGTTTGTGACAGGACTTTCTACTCCCGCCAAGAGTCGCAGTCTCAGAAACCCAGCGTTCTGCCCTGTCCTGTGGGGTCGCCCCGGTCAGAACGGACACGATGGGAGGGAGTTGCGAGAGTTTGTCTGGTAGCCACATGCTCTTGGAACTCATTTCCCAGGGAGACAACAGGGGGGACCAGGCTAAGTGAGAGCTGACTCCGCTCCCTTTGCTCCCGAGCCAGGTGGTGGTTGATTACGCTGACCCATGACCATTCCATCTTCGGTGACATGTGACCAGCCTTGCTTCCCCAGAGACCTGAGAGCCCATCTGATTTTCCCTGGACCTACAGATGGCGGGCCACCAAAGGAGAGAGGTCTTGGAAATGTCTGCTAGCTTGTAGTTTGCGGCAGCTTACACCTAAAGCATTTGTTCTGTTGTTAATAATAACAGTACCTCGAAACGCCTGAAACAAAGAGATGTAGGTTCACTGTTCATTCCTGCTGTAATCTAGAGCCAGGGCCATTCCAAAGTGTTCCTCCTGTGCCCAGCAGCAGCTGGAATGCGCTGGAGAAGGGCTGTACTGGCTTTCAACAGCTCAGACTAGAAGCAAGTGTCTTAGAAAGGTTACCTGGGCGTGCGTGTTCTTTTTACTGTGATAGACGCTGTAAAGAGCCCTGAGAGGTCATTTAGCTCAGCCTCCTCGACAACATAGGAACAGCTTTTTCCACCTCCCCGAGGCATGGTTTCTTAGGTGCTGTTGAATTCCTCCAAGTACAGCGAGCTCATCACCACACCAGGGACAGACCACCCTCTCCACTGTTGGACACTAATTGTTAGAAGATTCTTCCATAGATAGAGAGAAACGTTTTCCACCTTCTAATTTCTATCTTGATTTTAATTCTGCCCTTGAGAATGAGCAAGCTTTTCTTTCCTGGGTGGTGAAAATGAGGACACTGTTCTGCTAACACAAAGGTCGGAGGTTCGAGTCTACCCAGAGGCCCCTTGGGAGAAAGGCCTGGGGATCTGCTCACCAAGCACCAGCCATTGAAAAGCCTGTGGATCACAGGATCACCGTGACTGATGCCCATGGGGTTGATGGGAGTCAGGGATTACAGGATCACCGTGACTGATGCCCACGGGGTTGATGGGAGTCGGGTCACGCAGTGGCACTTGGCAGTGTGTTTCTCATGTGTTCCCTTTCATCAGACTATACTATGAATCTTCAGAAACACATTTTTTTTTCTTTTAAACATTTTATTAGGGGCTCATACAACTGTTATCGCAATCCATACACACATCAATTGTGTAAAGCGCATTTGTACGTCATTCTCAAAACATTTTCTCTCCACTTAAACCCCCGACATTAGGTCCTCATTTTTCCCCTCCCTCCCCGCTCCCCCCTCCCTCATGAGCCCTTGATAGTTTATAAATTGGTATTTTGTCATATCTTGCCCTGTCCGACGTCTCCCTTCACCCACTTTTCGGTTGTCCGTCCCCCAGGGAGGAGGTCACATATAGTTCCTAGTAATCGGTTCCCTCTTTCCTACCCATTCTCCCGTTACCCTCCCTGTTTCGCCACTCACACCACTGGTCCTGTAGGGCTCATCCACCCTAGATTCCCTGTATTTTCAGTTCCTATCTGTACCAGTGTATATCCTCTGGTCTAGCCAGACTTGCAAGGTCGAATTCGAGTCATGGTAGTGGGAGTGGGGAGGAAACATTTAGGAACTAGAGGAAAGTTGTATTTCTCATCGTTGTTATATCACACTGACTGGCTCATCTCCTCACCGAGACCCCTCTGCAAGGGGATCTCCAGTGGCCTACTAATGGGCTTTGGAGCTTTACTCCGCACTACCCCCATCATTCACTATGGTAAGATTTTTTTGTTCTGATGATGCCTTATACTTGATCCCTTTGACACCTTGTGGTTGCATAGGCTGGTGTGCCTCTTCCATGTGGACTTTGTTGCTTCTGAGCTTGATGGCCGCTTGATTACCTTCAAGCCTTTAAGACCCCAGATGCTATACTTTTTGATAGCCGGGCACCATCAGCTTTTCAGAAACACATTAATGCATAAAACATTCTCAGCTTACGAGGGCAGACTTTGGGGTGCTGAGCAATGGCCATTCATCATCATCTTTCATGACAGGCACCCCTGGAATGCTTGTCCCCTGTCATCTAAGATGTGCTCCTGGGATCTGGAGCAGCCCTTGCTTAAGTTTGTACCTCTGATGGGGGCTTCCTGTCAGTGTGCAGTAGGCGCACTGTACACAGAGGGGAGAGAATGTGGTTGAACTGCGTGCTCAGCACACACTGGCTGCCCACTACGTGTGCTGCCTGTTAGATGCTTCCGCAGCAACCCTGCATGTTTTGTTTTTATCATAGACGAGCCCTGGTGACATAGTGGTTATGCACTGGGCTGCTAACCACAAGGTCAGCAGTTCGAAAGCCCCAGTTGCTTCTTGGGACAAAGACTTGGCTTTCCACTCCCGTACAGAGTTAGTCTCAGAAACCACAGGGGCAATTTGCAAAGCCACAGAATGTACTTGATGGCAGTGAGTTTGGTTCGTTTTTAGGATAGACGAAGAAACTGGGTGTGTTAGTCCGGGTAGATGTGAGAAACAAATTCATAGACACTCATATGTGTGTCAGAAAGAGCTTTATATACAAGAGCAATTGAATATTGAAAAAATATCCCAGCCTAGTCCAGATTAAGTCCAGTATTAGCCCATACATCTCATACCAGTCTATAAATTCCTCTTCAAGCTCATGCAACACATGCAATGACGCTGAGTGCAGGAAGATCACAGGCAAGTTGGTGTAAAGTCTTGTGGATCCAGTGGCGGTAGAGGCATCTCAGTGCTGGCAGGGGTCTCCACATGGCTCCTTCAGCTCCCAGGGCTCTGGCTGCATCAGGGTAACTTCATGTGGCTTCTTGTCAGCAATGTCTTGCAAAGAGTGACACCACCCTGGGTAAGCACAACGGTAGG